AAATGGAAAGTCAGCAGCTTCCCGTCTCCTGAACACTGCATGGAAAAAAAAAAAAACGCATAGGGGGGAAAAAGCTGCTGGGGTGCCGCAGAAAAGACACTCCCCGAGCTCTCGACAGCCCCTCAGTTCGCCCGTGGGCTTCCTCTGACTGTCAGTACTCAAGTATGTTTATATTTAAAATAGCGTAATGACATTTATTATAAGAGGCCAGTTCAAATATCCTTGCAAGTCTCTGGCAAAAACAGAAGCTATCACTTCTGGACATGTGTACAACTTCATACATACAGTCGGTTTATGTTGTGCATACATTACACGCCCTATGCAAACCACAAGAAGGCTGGAGAAGCAGCTTTGAGAAGAGTGTGGTGATAAAGGGTTTCACCTTTCAGTCAGAGCTCCTGATGTCCAGGCAGCAGGAGAACGTGTGAATCCTTAGCTGAGAAATTCATTTAAGGCTCCTTCCAGGCAAAGTCTACCTTGTACTCTGATACTGCTGCATTCAAGTACTGGTGTCACTGATGTGCATCTTTTCTTAACAAAGTGATCTCATCCAGACCAACGCCTGTCCTTTCATTTTTTACGTTATTTTCTTTTTTATCTAATCAAGGATGTAGTGTGCCATCGGCGCTCTGAAACAGATGACACTGAGTCACGCACATTTAAAGTCTCATATGTGAGAAAAGGCCTGATGAGCGTAGAGACACTCGTAGTACCAGTGCCTTAATGTAACGGTTGCATCCATCTGTAGCAGCTGAGGTTCACCAACAGAGGAGCCCTTCAAATCATTAATCCAGTGCTAACCTGTGGAGGTGATATAAAGGAAAAAGCATGAATCTTCTACTTAACACTACAATTTTTATGTTGTTGACAAACTGTGAATTTTCCAAATCTGAGAAGGAATCATCACTATTTAGCTGAAAGGATCACAGAGACCTGTGGTGAGTTTATGTTGCTGCGTTTTAAAATATCGCAGGTCACTGAAAAAGAGCTTGTGAGAAATAAACAACTAAGCAAAGCCATCTTTTAACTGCAGGTTGCTTCAGCAGCGATAGATGTGCTGAAAACTCAGCTGCTGGGTGAGGATGAAAGAACGAAGTGTGTAGCCAGAGTTAATTATTCAGCCTTTGAGCTCCTCCTGATCTTCCTCCCAGTCCTCTCTCTTCCTGCCGTGTTCTGCCTCTGTAGAAAAGTCTCATATCTTACTCCTCTCCTCCTTTTACTTGCACAGTTTTTTTTTGTACAGTACGCCCACGATCGGTTCATTAACTCGTTCATTCTCTAACTGTTTCAGCTCTCGAGGAATTCTTTCTACCTGCTCTCAGGTAATCCCTGACATGTCTCTGTTGGAGGATGCTGTGAAGTGTGTAATAGTGTAAAGAAGTGTAATTACTGAGTATTTGTTTGGAAAACTCAGAGAAATGCTAAAATTTACAGTAAACCGAGACCTTTTTTTCTTTGTTTTCAACTAAAGCTGAACTTAGTGGGCTTTCTTGTGGAAAGTATTTAAAGATAGTTTGGTGTATTTAATTGTCACCGAGAAGCAAGAATGTATGATGTTCGATTTTTGAGAAGGGGGGGAAAAAAAAGGGAAGCTCGTGATGTTCAAAGGGAGGATGAAATTTAAGGTTTAGCTGAAAGTCTGCAGACCACAGAGAGGCCGAGCCGAGCTCTTGTATTTATTCCTGTTTTCAAAGCGGGATCAGACGTGAATGCTCTGATCTGATTATTACATTGCATTATGTATACAGATACAGTACTATACCGTTGATGGAACACTTATTTATGTCCACTTTGTTTGGTATCAACACTGTGATATATGTATTTCATTCAATTTATTCACTTCTTTTTACATGATCATTGTGTCTGGTAAATAAAAAAACATGTTGTCTTATTATAACTTTGTTAAAGTTTTCTTCTGTCAGTGGGAGGCTGCTCAGTTGTTCTTATTTAAAAAGCATTCAGCGGGAGATTTGTTTGATATGCAGGGTAATCACAAACCGCTGAATCATGGAAGAGAAAAGTTAACACAAAAAAAGAGAACAGATGGGGAAAAACACCCTTTCATGGAAGCTTGTTTATATCACCGAAATAAATAAATTGGCATCATAAGTCATAATTTCAGTTTATGTAAAAAAAAAAAAAATTCACTATTAACTAATACATTTTGAGATGACTCAAAATTTTAGCTTGCTGTGAATGTTATTGTTGCACCGTTTGTCCACAGCATGTCTTTTATCCTGTCTTCCTTCTCTCACTCTAACCAATCACAGCAGATGGCCCCGCCCCTCCCTGAGCCTGGTTCTGCCGGAGGTTTCTTCCTGTTAAAAGGGCGTTTTTCCTTCCCACTGTCGCCAAAGTGCTGCTCATAGGGGGTCATATGATTGTTGGGTTTTTCTCTGTATCTATGAAGCGCCTTGAGGCGACTTTAGTTGTGATTTGGCGCTATATAAATAAAATTGAATTGAAGAGTGCATTCTGCAAGCTGTTGGCAGTCACAGATGGTATAATAAAAGATGAAGGTAGGCAAGTTTGGAAAAGTCAAGAGCAGCGTTTCCATCTTTGCCATCTTGGTTTCAAAAAAACAGGATGTGACGAGGAGGACCGGCCAGAGCGTGCTCATTGTTCCCACTCATTGGCTAATGACTTCTAATTGAAGTTGTTAGCTGATGTTGTTGGGGTCAAATCAGAAAGTTATCATTTATAGAACTGAACCAAAGATATCGCCATCTAGTGACCTGTCCGATAAAATATTATTGCATCTCCACTTTGTGGCTTCATTTTTATGATCTGGAATTTACGCCACGCTTACTGTTTATGAAGTACTTTATTCCAATATGCTTACTTTACTCCATGACTCCGTGACTCCACTCACCACTTTTCACTTCCCATCTGTTTATCTGCCACTGCAGTGTGTCACAGTTATTGGTTTTTATTTAATTTGATTTTAAATTTAATGACATAGTTAAATGCTGTCTTCTTTCTGCAACAGTAGGTGTTTTGTCCCATCTTCCTGTGTGCTTTTCTCTTCTCTTTCCCCAAACTGGTACAACCGATGACCATCCCTTCCTGAGCCTGGTTCTGCTGGAGGTTTGTTCCTCTTACAAGGGAGTTTTTACTTCCCACCATCACAAAATGCTTGCTCATAGGGAGTCGTCAGATTGCCCGAGCTTTGCTCAAACTACTGTAGGGCATTTAGCTAGCAATATAAAGTACTTTGAAGCAACCTTTGTGATTTGGCACTATATAAATAAACCTGAATTAAACTGAACAAATCAGTCTGGACGAGCACAAACACAACAGCCAATCAGAATCAGGCACAAGTTAGAAAATAACAAGTAATAAAGGAGTAAATAAATAATTACACATAACAAATGTGAGCAAAAGCTATTCATGTTTTTTGTGTCCTCAAGCATAATTTATGGTCCCACAGATTCATCTGTGCACGTTTCCATTTGGACAGCCTGAGAACCTACACAGATATTTAGATGTTGTAGTTTCTTATTCACATGCAGTGTGGTAATATCTGTTGCTTCATACACAGTTTAAATTGTGTCCTCATCATTTAGAACTAGTGTTTCACTTTTCATATAAAGATCAAATAGCAGATGTGCTGCACACCAAACTACAGCATGACTAGATTAAACTTTGTCCTTTTCCTCAGCTGAGCAGCCGCACAGAGCTGCCAGCGTGGGTGTAAACTCCCACAGATGTATATGCTATGTATAAAACATACGAGAAAATGGTTTTCACACAAGGACTCACAGCTAGAAGACCAAAATGTGGGAAAAATAAATCGTGTTTATCCCACAGGCAGATATGATCCTTTAAGATTTACCCAAATCACACTTTTTGAGATATTTTTTCACTGAATTATCACGAAACGGATAAAACATGGAGGGCAGAAACAGTAACAAGTGTCTCTATTACATTATAAACATTAAATTTGGCGTGTTTTACTGCTGAAAAACTGATATAGTCCTAATAATGAAAAAACTCTTGCTGTGTCATTTTGAGTGTGACTGAAATTTACTTGCTAAATATATTTTAGCAGCCATAGAATTTCATGTGACTATCCCATGTACTTAGTAGCTATGACGGCTAAAATCAAGAGATGCAAATCTTCAGCCTTCCTCTACATAATTTAATAAGGTGTGTAACACAAAAAATATTCATTGCAGGGAGGTGAAATTGTGCAGACTTTCATTAAACGGACAAATATTCTACAACAACTGCATACCATCTCTTTGCCGTCGCTGTTTTGGTGGATTATTGTCTCCACTTTGCATTTTTTAGATTCAGTGATTCACAAGAAATGATTTGCTGATCAGGCAAATCGCTCATCTAAAGAGAAGCCATGGCTCTCATGTTCTAATGGCAGGGTTTGCTGCGAATTGTGGATTTATTTTAACTCTAAGCTTAAATCCGAAAACTGTTCTGAGCGCTAAAAAACGAAACCGACCTCACCGTCACCTCGCAGTATGGCTCTGAAGTCCAAACATCTACATCCTACCTTCTGTCAGCACAGATAAAATCTCTGAGGAAGTTGATAACCCACGCTCAGTTTATTTCCACATCTGGAAGCTGCTGGAGTCACGGAGATATCAGCTGTGGAAGTCATGACAACCGCGCGGGGGGGCATCAAGGTTATCACAGTTAATTCAACCTAAGCTAAAAGTAAAACTGAAGGTGAGAAAATAAATTTGAATAAATGAAATACAAATAAAAGGCATCAGTAGTGTAGCTGCTCCATCATCCAACTTATTAAACAAATACCATCTATATACTAATCTATACTGCAGGATACTATTATACTACCATCTATAACTCAGATAGACTCACCAGCAACATTATTAGGCACACCTGTTTCAATCACATGAAAATAAGTTCAAAAGCTGCATCAGAATCAGGAAGAGAGGTGATTTGAGTGACTTTGAATGCTGCATGGTTGTTGGCAGCAGTCAGGCTGGTCCGAGTATTTCAGAATCATCTCCAGGATTCACAGAGAATGGTCTGAAAAAAGACAAGCGTCAGTTTTCTGAGCTTAAAAAGGGTTTGTTGATGCCAGAGAAGATTGGCCACACTGCTTATAGTTGATGGAAAACTAATCAGTTGCAACCAGTTGTTTCAACCAAAATGTGAGCATGTTGAAGGAGATCCAGCAGCAGAAGACCACACCAGGTGGAACTCTTATCAGACCACAATTCATATGGGGTCAAGATGTTGCCTGGGTGACGAGTTTCAATTTCTCCTGCAATGTTTGGATGACAGCATCAGCATTTCGCATGAACAGCATGAAGGCATGCATCCATCCTGCCACGCATCAACGGTTCAGGCTGGTGGTGGTGATGTCACAAGATCACAATCCAACACAGTACCTTTGGGATGTAGCGGAACAAGAGATTGGCATCATGGATGTGCAGCCAGGAAATCTGCAGCAACTCTCTGGTGCTGTCGTGTCAGTACGCATCAAAACCTGTGACGAATGTTTCCAACACTTTGCTGAATCTGTGGCTTCAAGAATGAAAGCAGCTCTGAAAGCAAAAGAGAGTCCAACCTGAAACTTGTACTTTTATGTGAGTGCCTATTAAAATAAAACTAATACAAACTAATCGGATAACTAAAAGTAAAACCAAATGTTTAAAAAAAAAAGAAAGTAAACATTAAAATTGAAAATTAAATTGAAACATGGCAAGCAAAACTATTTGCTTCACAAATGATGAAATGATGATAACTTTGCAAAAGCCTCTGGATACAGTGTGTGCGCCGACAGACTCACAGACAGCTATTGAAAAGAAATGTGAAACAGTAGCAATTAACAGCTTACAGAATCCACATCTTGATGACAAATTTTCTTTAATTTTTTAATATTTACAACACTGCATCCTAATAGCATGAAAAAACTGCTGTAATATACATTATAACTTGCAGCAGTTGTATTCAAGTTACATTTAAGTATTTTACATTCTTAGACGTAGTCTCAGAGACTACGTCCCATGAAAATGGTTTTAATATGTACCATTACGCTCAGATACATTATGATAAATGATGACAAACAACTTTATAAATCAAACAACACAATACAAAAAAACATTCATTTAAAATAATGTGTCCAGCTAGGACAGATGAAACAACCAAAACTGTGCCACTTGCTCAACAGTCCATGGCTATGTGACTATTGTGTTCATACAGTCTGCTCTTCTACCATGAAGAGATATTTCAGTGGGATTAAATCTGCATGCACAGAAACCCAGAGGACCAGGAGTAAGAGAAGTTTGACAAGTTGTCCATCACGTCTCAGGATCCTTCGTCCACTGTCAGCTCCTGCAGCTGCTCCTGCACATTCTCCAGCTGCTCCGTCTGGCTCTCTTGTGGCTGCTCGGACTCCGGCTCATGGTTCTCTACCTCTTCCTCCATCTTTGGCTCCTCGCGTACACTCTCCAGATTCTCTGAGCTCTCAAAACAACCCGAATCCCGCGGCTCCTTGGCGTCCTCCCCAGATGTTTCCTCCTTCTCCTTCTCCCCCTCTTCTGGCTCTGACTCTTCTTCAGCTACACAAGCACAAAAACAATCACAGTTTAATATATAGAGGTTTACGCCGATCCTTTTTATTCTTACTGAACTCTGACAGGTCCTTTCATCTCGCTCAGCATCCAGCAGTAAAGGAACAACACAATCATTCATCCGGAGTCACTTTGTGTCCACCTGGTGAATCTAAACCCTAGCTCACTCCTGTTCAGCGTTGTTTATGTTCGCTCAAACCTCCTGAGGGAAATCCACTACATGCAGACAGCTGACTGTTATTTGCTGCTGTGTTAGTGCATAAATACGGTGGGACAGCAGAGAGTGAACCAAAACAGTAAATCTGTGGGTCAGATGGCTAAAAAAAGAGACAAAACTACTAGTATTTAATGCTCAAACAGCTGCAGATTCAAGAAACACTTGCAGGTTTCTCAGCAAAGATAATCACTTCCATCCGTTCACATCTCACCAAAGTGATTGTAGTGTGTATGAAAATTAACTCCAGCTATAAGTTAATATGCTGCAGGTTAAATTACTTTCAGTGGTTTCAATGAGCAACGACTCTAATAGTAAGGAATTGATGGACAGTCATCACTGTGGTCAAAATAATACAAATAAAGGTTATTGCGGTTTAGGGGAAGTAGATACTGATTCATATGAAATGTTTTTGGGTGAATTTTAAAGAAAGTTTAAATTCACAAACTGTCCTTCTGCAGCAAAGATGAGCCAAGATATTAAGACGAAGCACTGATAACACAATGTGAGCCATGAAGTGCACCTGATTGTGTAGTTGAAGCATAAAAAAAATGACAAAGTGCTCCTGAAATCAGCATCCTTTGATTAGACATTATGAGCTTTGCAGCATCACAGTGTATAAACTTACAGTCTCTCAACAGCTCAGTGGCGTTCAGGATCTTGGAGCGCTGCTCTGGGTCTGTGATGTTCAGCTCATTCAGGTGAGACTCCTTCAGCCCTGCAAAGTCCTCCAGAGTCTGGAAACCATGCATGGACAGCAAAGAACTCAGCTCCTGCAACATGAGAGAGAATAAGCTTTACATCTCTGCGATCAGACAGAGGTGACCATCGCAACGGTTGCTCTGCAGTTTCCCTCACCATCAGGCCGATGCTGTCCAGGACTTCCTCCAGGGATTTGGGTTTGGATTTGGCTCGGTTGGCTTTTCTGCTGCAGCGTTTCCTCCTGGTCGGGGGGCTTTCGTCGGGCAGGAGGTTCACATAAATGAACTTAAAGGAGCCCACCTTGTTGTTGAGCTTCCCGGTCCAGGTGCCCACGGGGGGCTTCTCGATGATGTGGATGATGTCCCCTTTCTATGAAAAGAGAGAGCATTAATACTGGCAGCCTGACAGGAGATAAAAGAAACTCACGAAAGACAGAATTATGAGTTTAAATTAAAGTCTGCGATCATCTCAAAGTTTCGCTCAATATCTGATCAAAAATCTATCCAGTGATTTAAGATAATGATCACCAGTGTAAAAGCTTTGAAAATATGAGTTTATAAATATTTTAAGAACCCCGTCAAGCAGACTTTTCTGATCACACATCATTGTATAAACTGCACTGAAATGATATTTTATCAAAGGGGGTAACCAGTAACGGAGGGTCTTGTAGATTAAACTCTTCCTTCACGGATGATAATCAAAATGACCGGTCTTCTTTTACACAGCTAACAAGCTCCCTGGAGGACGCCTCAGTGAGACAGCAAACGAGGCCAAATCGCAGCCAGTGAGGAAGACTCCCCCCTCCGAGACTCACTTGGAGTTTTAGCGAATCCACATCGTAGGGGCTGGGGGTGAAGTCGGTGTGGACCACAGCGCGGCCGCAGAACGGGCCGTTGTAAGCAATGCCGTTCTCCTCCAGTCGCATGCTGTCCCTCTGGCTATATCCACTGTCCAGGCTCTGTCTGTCGCTGTCTGAGGAGGACAGATAAGAAGCTGGGTCAGATTCATCCTGAGGCCTTCGCCTCTGCCCCAGAGGTTTAAACACACTGTAAACATCCCTGTATGACTCCAGGAATCATGCTGATGGGACACTGGGCCTTTATACAATATAAAAGGGGTTTTCAGGCTTTTATTAAAGTAGTATGGCATTTTACAAAGATGTCAGACCTCTAAATAGCATTTGTAACATAAATATATAATATTAGGTTGGACTTATTAACTATGAATGCTGGATAATTAAGTCAAAGCACTTTTCCTCCAGTGGGAAACACGGCCTTTTGAAGACTTGAGCAGTTACAAGAACATCTTACAGGGAAAACTTCCCTTCTCAGTCATCTGTAAAATTATCAACTTGCTACTTTCAGTCTCTCCCTGTGGTTTTGCCACAGCGGGTAGCTCCGCATGTTTGATTTGGCAGATTTTTTATACCCTTCCTAACGCAACCTCATAAGGATTGGGTTCGCCTCGATCAAACTAGGCATCGTTTGCTTGTTAAGTGATTATGAAATCCCTTAAATTGTGTAAATTAAGAAAAGCGGTGGCACTCACAATTTAGTTTAGCTTTGGGATTGAGTAGCACCTGTTTGGGAAACTTTTCTACCTCTGTTAAATTACTCCAGCAGCAAAGTTAAGCCTGGTCTAACATTTTAACACTGTTTTAACAGCTATAATGCCGAAGACTCTCTATGCATCTGACCGAGGAAATCAGGTCGACTGAGTCAGTGACCTCCTTTAAATCTAAAATTAAAATACACTTTTAGGGGAGGAGAGCCTTTCCTGTTTTTACTTGAGTAAAAATCCTTCCTTTAAAGAATTCGATAGTCAAGAATCTAGTTTATCATTATAATTATTGTCTTGCTGTTAAAAGAAAATTAATATCACCCTAAAAAAGTATTCAGTGTATCCTTGGGCCACACGCAGTCTGTCACATCTGTGTAGTCGGACCTCCTGTTCCTCTCACACAGCCTGAAGTAGTGATTTTTTTTCACACTTACTGCCAGAGAGCTGGCGGCTGATGGGGCTGGGCATGGTGTCCTCCGAGCCTGTGGAGCACACCGACGTCCTCTGGCCTGCACTCAGATCTGGAAGCCAGTCGGAAGGGACAGGAGACAGCTCTTCACCGCTCTCCCCCTGGGGACAACAGTGCAGGTCAGAGGTCAGTTCACATTTACCTCCCATACATAATAAAAAAGTCAAAGAAGTGTCTCATTATCTTTGTCTCAAACTTGTTTCATTACCTTGGAAAATATTTTAGGGCATCTGTCATTGATTTGCAGAAAAGTGAATTCTTCTTTAGAAACACGGTCTGGCTTGTCTTTGTGCTAACAGACATTAACCTTTAAATGACAGATTGGTGGCAGTCTGCTAAATTTAGAGCTCTGAACTGAGTGAGCATTATACCAAACTTTGGTAGGAGATAGACATGAAAAAGCAGACGCAGTGGAAGAGGGTTTATTCGGGCTCTTTACCCAAACATCAGCATCCCCACAAATCTAAAATACTTGATTACAAGAAGAGTGCACAGCACTGGCTGAACTGTAACATTAAATTCTGCAGTATGCTGTATTTTAGTTAAATCTAGAAAACGTTGCATGCAAGTTTTTGTGCAAGGTAAAAGAATAAACCCCTCTGCAGTACATGGATTTCTCCACAAGGTGGAGACAGATTCACATTTGTAGTAGTGTGAACTTTTTTTTTTCCTTTTTTTTTTTTTAGGTATGCATCACGTGTTAACCTTTGGATTACTTTGTGAAACTTAAACAGTCTTTACCCCTTCTTCAGCTAAAGCCTTCTGCACCATCTTGGACGTTTTGCGGGTCATGGTGCGTGAAATGACATTGCGCCACTTCTTCCCCAGTTTGCTGCCACTTTTCACTGCTTCCTCTGTAGTCACACCATCTGCTACCTGGAGAAAAGGAGAAAAGGGAAAACCACCAGATGAGTTTTCAGTGTTATTTAAAGTCACTGGAATTAAGTTTGAGAGTAGTAAAAAAAATATTCAAATCAAAGTCACTGACATGAATTTCCTCGGTGGCATCGAAGCCAGGTCATAAAATTTTTCTCACAGACTAAGAAGAGCGTTTGTGGTAATGGGGGTTGCGTGCACACATGTTACTGCCATCCACAAAGTATTTCTCTGTCTCTCTGTAGCACGAACACGCACACACAGACACACAAGCGCTCTACTGTGGTGCTTGAAAGCACAGTTTTAGAGAGTGTTACCAGACTCCATCTGCAGACAAACTGTGTGAAGTTGCGTGCTTATTACTGACATCTAAAAATGTCGTTTTCAGGCTTTTGAGGTAGTTAACAGCAGAGACGGGCACATAGCTTAATCACAGTGATTATTAGTATCATGCAGATCCTAAAAAGCAAGAGTGGGCGCTTGTGAATTAGTCAAGAGCTGTAGCCCAAAAACTTAACATTAAGTATTAAAAAGAGTGCCAAATAGACAGAATACATCAAGACAGCAGATGCAGTTTTATCCTTAAATTGCTGTATGTAAAATAGATTTGTCAGGTGAGTTATGAAGAGCAGCAGCAGAGAATTCCTAACAGCACCCACCTGGTTAGTGGTCACGTTCAACCACCATAACCTTCTACTAATAATACCCACAGGTTTCTGTTTTGGTTCTGCTACTCAGGTGTCGTTTGGAAGCATGTCGTATTAAGACAAGCTTTTTTCAATGAAGTCTACATCTGTCCACATTACCTCCTGATTAAACTGTTGTAATTATTTCTATTTCTTCACCAATCGTTACTTTATCACCTGCAGAAGCTCGTCTTCTCTCAGGAAAGAAACAGTGCGATCACATCACACCTGTACTGGCCTCCCTGCACTGGCTTCTAGTCCATTGCAGGATCCAGTTTAAAATTTTACTATTTGCTTTCAAGAGCCCGAGTGGTTTTGTGCCATCCTACTTAACCTGGTCTGTAAACCAGCTGCTTTTAGAAGTTTCTAGATCCACGCTCGAAGTTGAGTCGTGTAGTAGTTGAGCAGGTTTCCTGGGTTTTATCATGCGGTCTTATTTATTTGTATTATTGTTTATTTGATGATGTTTTGATATTTTTGCAGGCTTTAGTGTATTTATTAGTGATGTGCTGATTGGTAATTATCTTTGTATTTGGCATAATCTATACAACACTTTAGTCAGCTGATATTAACAGAATTTTGGGGGGTCAAGCTTGGCTTCCCTGATTTAAAAATCAATACTAGATTTGCAAACTAACCATAAGTTTGTCCATTTAGCTCCATTCCCTCATATTCAGTGAGAAATGTCTTGATTTGAAGCCAATTTTGGTACAAATGTGAAATAATTAGGCCCCGGAGAAGCCCTCAAAGCTTGTCGTGCACTTATTCTTAATGAAACACTATCATGAAGAAACGCTGCCGTTTATCGGCAGTGTAAACATTCAGTAACCACAATGACAATGGCAAACCCACGTCTGCAGAGACCGCTGACAGGGGTGTAACAGATGAATTCTCAGCAGAAAGTTTTAAGCTCAGAGTTGATGAATTAAAATTTAATTAAATTGAATTAAATGAAAAATAATAAGGCCAAATTTAAATGGATACGCTCTTCGGGGGAATACCATTTATGATTTTCGGACGGAGAGGCTCTCTGCTTGACTAGACCGGAGGACATCCTGTCTGCATGCTGTTGTCATCTGGGGCTCTGTGCAATGCTTCTCATTCTTACTTCCTCTGTAATCATTTCTCTCTAACTTCCACTCAGTAACCTGAATGTTGCTGGGAAATTATTAATATATTCTGTTAATTTTAAAAGTGTTATCATTTGTTCACACGTGTAAATCAGGAAGCACCAACTGGGCACTTCTGTAACAGTCATAACTGAAAAAAAGCTTCCACTTGACCTCTGGTGGATGCGTTATTTAGAGAAGGCCACAGTACGAGAGACGAGGAACAATGTAACAAAATATCTGGAGGAACTGCTATTCAGGAAGTTAAAAGAAGAGATAAAATAGGTATTTTCACTTTATAAACTGATGTTTTGTATATTTTGCTTGTTTTGTGCAAATCCCAGGGAAGAAACTTACATTCTCCTCCAAGCTGAACTCCTTCTCTGACACAACAGGAGAGGTAGGCTTGGGCTTCATGAAATCCTTGAAGCTGCTGGACCTCTGCAGGGTGAGCTGCAAACAAAATGTGCATTGCACTTAAATATCATGAACTCATGAACAGCAAAGAGGATCACACAGTTGTTCAGTGGTTTTCTGTGGAATAACTGATAATGCTGAACTTGCGGTCGTGCACACAGTATGATCTTATCTCCTCAAATTTGTGAACAGAAGGGGTTTCTTAGAAGTAATGTGTGCCAGTGTTTCTCCACACACTGTTATCGGAGTTGAAGTCACGGCTAATTGAACGTCTGCACGGTGATGTGGCTGCATCTGATAAGGTTTTACAAAGGTATTGCAGCTGTTTAGCAGGAAACACAAAGGAAATGATGTGCGGCTAGATTCATTAGGGTTTCTGCAATAAATAGCTCGTGTTTTCAAAAGTGGCATACACAAGACCTTGGGGGAAGGACAGGAGCACCAAAGCAACAACATTGTTTTTTTATTCTTTTTTTAGTTCAAACACCAGAAAGGCAAAGCTCTAGTAATTTTGAGCAAAAGAGACAAATCTGACTCATTTTTTTGCATATTTTCCAGATTTAGACTTTCTTGTAGCTGTTGTGGAAACTTTTTGTCTAATTTTCCATTTAACCACGCCGCCGTGCAACATCTTATCGCAGCTCATCCTTCTCTCTCTGCTCAAACCACAGGAAACTGGCAAAGCTTTAGCAACTGCTGCCAGCCAATCATTGCAGACATCCAGCCAGCACCGGTGGCTTACGGTCTACCTTGTAAAGTTTAACCACCAAAGCTTAACCTTCAGCATTCTTGGGCCTCAGTGACATTTAATATGACAAGTTCTGGTGGCAAATGTTTCTTTTCCCATCCTCAGTTTTTATTTAACAGCCACAGACCTTTCAGCTAAATCAATCTTCTATTAAAGCCGACAACCGCAGCAGTGACATGAGAAGAACAAACGCAGCGAGTTGTGTAATGACATGGCGTGAAAACGACCGCGGGTGGAGAGCTGGATGGAAAATAAGAGCACCGGTGTCAAGTGTAGGAGGTTCACTATCTTGATAGCAGCTGAAGACAAAGTCAGCAGAAGCCACAAAGCCTTCTCTGACTCAAACTACATCTGCAGCAATGATTCACCCTGCCAGAATAGAGGAACTTTACTTTTCTAAAAATGTACCGAGGCTGCAGCCAAAACGGTAGTTAGAAAAGGTAGGAAATATTCTGCTTTAGGCAAAAAGCTGCTGCTGAACCTCAAGTGTTGTCTGTGTTCGTGTGCGTTCAGCTTAACCGCAAAAGGTCTGAACTAACTTAAGCTGACATCCTGTGTTGAAAAGATGTGCACACAAAGAAGACAGCTGATGTCGAAGTGCAAACAAGTGTGTGTGGCAACAAAAGTCTACAAAAAGTAACAAATATAAAAACTATGACTTTCTGTTTAATATAAGCATTTCAAAGCGTAGCTGCACACACACATCAAAACAAAGAATTACAGCAACCAAAAAAACTCACCTTCTTCTTCTGCACCTGCTCCTTCTCTGAGGCATTTGACGGCCTTCGCCTCAACATCTTGTCCCTCTGTGATCCTCAGATCTCCCCGGACAGAAAGCTGTGGGAAAGTTGGACCCGCTTTAATCACCTGAGGATTTCTGTGACTGCGCGGTCACAGCCCGAGTCTGATTAGAAAACTGAGGAAGCCTGTTGTGTGCTGTGTTGCTGCCGAGTGAACTGCAGAAGCCAGCAGGAAGTCACGTGGCCATGCTGAAACTGAAAAGGCAAACCCTGTTTTTGGTGACTGCACGGAGACTCGTGGTTTTGTTACAAGTATTGCTCACAAGCGCATGCTATTTGCTCTCTGTGGCTCAAAACTGAACATGATACATGCAACCTTAATGAGTATTTCATTACAACACTGTTGACTGTTACCACATATCAAATGGTGCATAATCACCTGTTTCTCATCATCTTTAAAAAAAAGTTTTAAAGATAAAAGTTAAGTCAAGTAAAAGCTGGCTGGAGGAATATTAATCAGCAAAAGATGTTGATGATCTTTTGCTGCAGTGACATCCCGCAGCCACTTATACAACATTACTACCCCTGCACCGTCTTTGAACTTCTGCAAAAAGTTGCAGTTAAATTTACTGGCTGTAAAAACTTCTCTTGTGTATCTTAACATCTGTGTTGTCAGGCTCCTTTGTGTGCTCACGATGTTGAGGACAAATAAAAGGTTTTGATTTTGCAGTCTGTCGTTTAGCTTCAGTTTTACTGAGCTGAAGTGTGGAAGTGAAAGGCAGCTAGAGCTGACATATTTAGCAACTCAGTAACAGCTTTGCAGCTGCAGCTACAGGAGGCCATAAAAAATCAAAAAATCACAAACTGCTGATCAGATTGCCCAAAAACTCACATATTTACTCACAAAGTGGTTTATGGGACAAGTGAGTTAAAACAAAAACCACCAGACACATCCTGACAGGATAGAAATGGAGCATTGAGACAAAAACAACTTGTGTGACTCAGAAATGTGTGCGCTTGTGAGTGCGCACTGAGCTGGCAGGACAAGGCGAAGTAAATGGCTGGCAGTAAATGTAAAGAGGGAAGTACGATGCAAGTCAAGTTTAGTTTGTTATTTTGGAGGGGGGGGGGAGACCACATGATAAGAGGATGCCCTATTTTAGTTTCCTGTCAGTCGGTTAAAGGTTGGCAAGCAATCTCGCAAAAGATCTCAAATGGGATGAAAACAACAAGCAACAGCTGATTTGGACAGTGCAAACTAACACATAGTAGTGTCAGAAACATTCAGACGTTCGGGTGACTACAGTGCTGCAGAGATAACAAAATAAGAGCTCTTAGCACATGTTTAACGTAAAGAAAAAATAAAAACACTCATGCATAATGAAATTTGTGTAAAGAAAACAACAAAACATTATTACGGACGCAGTTGTTATGATTACACTCACGGACACGTGAAGATGCTTTTTTAAATAATTTTTTGGACATTTTTGTAAGAGCATTTCAGAAAGCAAAAGGGAAAATCAAAAAGTTTTGAAATGATCCAAGAATCGAATCTAGGCTCCTGCAGGTTTCCAGCGTAATAGTTGCTCAACCACAGTGAACTAGGGCAGCACCTGTTTTTTGGCTTTTTCTGTAACCAAGTGTAACAAGTGAGAACCAGATCTGACAGAGAAACCATGGGACTCTCTTATTTGGTAGCAGTGCAGTCTGATTTATCATCTTATTTACTCCGAGCAGATTTGGATAAGCCAAAGGGAATGAACGATTGAACTGGTTACTTCAATGGAGATGATAATTTACAAAATGAAAGCTATGTTGCTGTTGTCCCCTTTGTGAATCACCACCTTGACATGGTGGAGCGCTTTGTGTGCCCCAGCGATCCCTTTGCCTCCTTGAAGGGTCTCCCAAGGTAAATTGGTCCTGAGTGAGGAGGCAGACAAAGAGCGATTCAATGGACCAATGACAGGCAAGAAAAGCAAGGGACCTGTGTACCCTGCCCGAGATAGGCCTGGAGCCAAGAACTTGATGGAAGGTGGTGGTCAGGCCTTAGTTCATGGGGCCCAGGTGCTCGGGGATGCTCCATCTGGCGACTCCATTGTCCTACTGGGAGACTTCAATGACAGAACAGGTGTGATTTGGAGAAATGGCTTGCTTCATCTGAACCTGAATGTTGTGAAGTTTTTTTTTTGTACAAATAACAGTTTGTCCATAATGAACACCATGTTCAAACATAAGGATGCCCATAAGTGCACGTGGCACCTGGATAGGTTTCAGGTCCATAATGGATGGATGGAAGATCATGTTATGTTAAATCACAATTAAGAAATAAATTGGTTGGGTTTCAAATACTCCCTATTTCTCTTCCTTAACAAGGGTTAAGGTTTGGTTCTTGAGTGCCAACTTTCTACTTCCACACATAAAAATGGACAAGCCTGTCCATCTATCATGAGTTTTTTTCCAACATTTTTTCAAAGAGTGAGAAATCCAAGTGAAATCTACAAATATTCATGCTGCTTACTGATGAGATTTGTTCACTAAAACATTAAATTATAATGCTCATTTGCTAACAGCAGGTTGTTTCCACACTGAGATCAGCCAAAACACCAAGACAGCAACAAAGGAAATGCTCTTAGAAAAGAGACATAAATAAGCAGTGGGTGACATCGAGGTGGCTACATCCATCTTTTATACTCTTAGTGTTTCCAGATTACAAACCACGCTTGGCTGTAGCTCAGATCTGCACCTCAACCTGACATAACTTCATCTGCATACGCCTTCACTGAATCACAGTTAGTCTGGAACTACACCAAGATGAGCTCTTCTAAAGGGTCGGGTTATTTGAAGGTGAATAACTACTCATAGTCAGATTTAAGAGATCAAAGTCCACAGGTGTGTATGTACCTCAACTTAAATACGCAGCACTACTTGGATTGTAGTGATAAGCGGAAGACTTCTGTTAAATTAATATGGGAGTGTTTAACAGTAAATACATGGTAAACATAAAAGATCTTTCTATCATAGAGAACAATGATGGCATAGTTTTTCTTCCTCTTCTCTTCTTTTCACCACAAGCTCACCAAAGTGGATGAAAACGCCTTTTCTGAGAGCAATCAGACTCTGTCTTTGAAAGGCTCCGTCATGTGCTTTTAATGACCAGAGATGCAGATGCAGGGTGCGAAGTGTCGGCGCTTGTCTTCACACCTTCAAGTCACGCTGACAGAACAGTTGCCCAGCAACCCAAGTCTACCAGCAGGAGCGGCTGTAAGCTGCTGAACCACGAGTCCAGTTATGTGAAGCTGCAGGTTGAATTTGAGTATGATTCGATTTCAGATGTTGTCATTTTTTAATGAAGAACTTCATGCATTGGGAATTTGTGTGCCCTAAGTAGCCTTTTTGGCATCAGTTTTTCTGTGACTTTTTCAGAGTCACATACTGATTCTCTTTGTAGATGCGTATTTCTCATTTAATATATTTCACTTTTTACTTTCCTGTGCCTTTGTCTGGAGAAGTAACTTCTTTAAATGTGCACCTATTCATGACGATGATCAGTTAGTTTTAATACAGTACTGTGCAAACGTCTCAAGTCCCTCCTCATTTCCTATTTATCCCCTTTGTATATTTTATTTATATTGTCTCTGTATTATATATATGTGTGTGTGTGTGTGTATATTTATAATATTCTGTAACTCTGTAACTTCGGTCGTTGCTGTGCTTTTTTGGAAATCGAATTTCCCAGAGGAACCCACCCGAGGGATTAATAAAGTTCTATCTTATCTTATCTTATCTTATTTCTTTGTATTCTGCTAGAAAAACTGGAAATAGGTACAGCATTTCATTCAAAAATGCAAATACAGTATCTTGGGGAAAGATAGTCTGTACAATTCTAACAAGTTTGAAAGTCAATATTTGGTATGACAACCTTCCTCCTCATTCCTTTAAGTACTCTTCAAGAACAGTTATCCAGACTCCTTAAAGCTCTTCTTTTGGATATTGGCTGCTTTTTGTTTGGGATCACTGCCATATTGAAAAATTAAGTTGTTACCATTCAGACATTTTCCAGATGGTGTTACATGGTGGATCAAAATCTGTTGAGACTTCGGAAATTTATCAATTCGTTCATTTAACAAACAATGGCCTTATTAGCACATGGGCACATGGAAGAACCATTAACAGCCATAACAGCCAAAATCAATCAGTAATTGTCAGTAAAAGTCAGTCAATGTGGTTGTGTTGGTTTCTCTGCATGCCAAAACTGATCTAACAAGTGTTCGGTGGGGCTGAGGTCAGGATTGCAGGAAGGCCATTTCATCCTCTCAACTCCCAAATTCTGGAGGCAGTGTCCGAAATGCTCTGTGAGGGGGGGAGTGCTGCTGTGGATACAGTTGGGTCCCAGACTCTGGAGATATGGAATGATTGTAGAATCTCCTTTCAGTATTTATCTGCAATGACTTTTCCTCCAGTGGTGACTAGCTTTGTTTTTCCAGTGAGGGAGATGCCATCGCACACCATCATACTGTCTCCGTCATAGCATAACTTTCAGGCACCTCGTTTTAAAGATATCTTTGCAAAAGGAATGTTCATGTCATTTAAAACATTGTAAAAAATGATTCCAAAATTCTAAAAGATTTTTACGTATCAGAAGTTTTGTTAGTAAATATTTAGACTCCTGTATTTCCACGAGCTCAATAAGGACAGATCATCAGAAAGAATGAACATGATTATTGACAGAATACAGATAGATGTTTGGTGGTTGACTCCGATGGCCTGTCTTGGCAGAACTGAACCCCAGCAATGAAAGAGATTAGAGCAGGAACCCCCGGAGCCTGGATGCTGGTGGTGAAGGTGAAGGTACAGTGGGGCAAAAAAGTATTTAGTCAGCCACCGATTGTGTAAGTTCCCCCACCTAAAATGATGACAGAGGTCAGTAATTTGCACCAGAGGTACACTTCAACTGTGAGAGACAGAATGTGAAAAAAAAAATCCATGAATCCACATGGTAGGATTTGTAAAGAATTTATTCGTAAATTAGGGTGGAAAATAAGTATTTGGTCACCTCAAACAAGGAAAATCTCTGGCTCTCACAGACCTGTAACATCTTCTGTAAAGACGCTTTTCAATCATCAGAAAATGGAAGACATACAAGACCACTGATGATCTCCCTCGATCTGGGGCTCCACGCAAGATCTCATCCCGTGGGGTCGAAATGATCATGAGAACGGTGAGCA